TGACTATTCCTTATTATATTCACGCTAACGTCTAAAGCAAACAGATTACTGAAATCTGTTTGATATAAGACATGCATTGTTTATTCAAACAACACGAGTTGTTTACACAATGTTTGACGGTAATTTAAAAAGTTTCCATTTTAAAACCGTATAAATAGTCTTTTGTGAACGTTTCTGGAGCTTTCTGGAGTGAAACACTTCATTAAAAGATAAAAGGAAAACTTAGACTGGAAAGCACTTTGTTATAAGAAAGTTTTGTTCTTAGAACAATATCGAAACAACCTCCAAACTTCCACTGTGTGAAGTATTGCTTCAATTTTAGTCTGCAAGAGAGTAAGTTATGCGGTTTCCCTGCGAGTAGTAGGACAGTATTAGGCTCGAGGTATAATGGAAAAAGTTTCACTATACTAAACATGCCGCCGACGATGATAAGTATGAACCCGAAGCCCCTTCGCAAAATTGCAATTCCACGTAATTTGATTTGCCTTATAATTTAAGGCACCTTAGATTCATTGCACATGCAAACTGAAACGAGATTCTTACAGTGCAACTACAAAATTATTGAAAATCCAATGAGTTTCCAACACGGTATTGTAACTTATGTTATTGTAGCCAGAAAAGTCATCCGAAAAGAATACTTTCCCCAGTATAAACGGGATATTTTCTGGACAGCGGCCAAGGCTGCACTCTCGATGATAACGGCGAGGAATTCTGCAGAGGGCTATTTTGAAATGTGATTAAGGTTTTGTTGAATTATCGATTATCCAAGGAGATAACGCAGTCTTGTTTACGTCAACGTAAATGTAGTCATAGTAGCCATTAGGGAGAGCATATATCTGGACAGTCTATACTCAGAATATACTCATTAGAGGTATTGCCTATTACAATTTCAATAGTAGTAGTAGTAGTGTAAATTGTTACGTGACATAATTTAGATTAAATTCATGAGAACTAAAACCAGTTCTCTTCGTGATCTTGAAGGTTACAAGAAGATAAGACATAAGTGAAAGTAAGTTAACCGGGGCGGGGTGAACACGTAGCAAATATGTGCACAAAAGAGACGGCGAACCACTGTTAGATAAATGGGCAAACCACAACATGATTTCCGAAGGAACCGCAATAAAATCTCCATCTACTAACATAATTTAACCAGAATCGAGGACTTTAACTAACGAATGGATCCCCGACAAAGCCCTACAATCGGATGAGACCTAAATTGCAACACAGATCAGATTTACTACTAAAATGCAAATGAGACTTCGTTGTAAAGCAACCGGTATGACCTTGAAAATTAAAAATATTTGTGTTTGCTACAGAACAAGTTCGTTGATGGACGGCTGTTGTCGTGTCACGTCGCATGCGGGCTTGTTAAATGACTACCTTGGGGTTTCCGAGACGTCGTGAGGCGAGTAAAGGGTACTAGAAGGTAGCAGTTAGGTACCAGTCGCAATTATCTAGATATGAGAATCAGCAGTTGATTGCAGATCGCGGTTGTCATGCCACGATATCGATTGCGGCGGGTGTTGCGCGCCGGTCGGCCCGGCGACGTCCTTGGCCCGACCACGCCGTCTCTTACTCCCACCCCTAGTCTGACGTCACAGCTCACACCCCACCCTCGTTGACATGCGGATCGGGTCATCTGTGACGTCACGTGTCACCCCGTTAGCGCCACCAAACATGATGCATCACTGAATTTTTATGACTACCGGCAGCAATGTCAATCAGCAGTAACAGGGTTTGGTATAAATATTTTCGCTATGCCCAGTACCGCGAGGAACGGGCAATCCATTTAACGGGATCGGAATTTTTAATTTATTCGCAACTCAAACATTTTTAGGATGACGAATTCCTAAATTGAATCAAAGACAAGCTACTTCATATTTCACCCTTTATGAAATGAAAATAAATTACATTTTGCAACGGTAAGAGGATGAAAATTATGAATTTATTATCGCACGCTGAATTTGTAACGTCGGGAACTCGTCACTGGCTCGTTGATCGGTATTCATTTCATTCAAGCAGTGTTTTCAAAACTTTGTGGAAAGAACCAATCACTTTTTATTAAAATCACTTTTTATTAAACTTTGCAGTTGTTTATGTATGAAAAAGCATTTAATAAGTTCATTCCTCCGTTAGGATTAGACTTACGAATGTATGACTCACATTTTATACCCATTTTAGCGGATATTGCATATTACAATTACTAAATAAATATTATTTTATAGGTATATTATATTTGTTTTAGTATTACGGTCATAGTATTATTTAAGTTTCAAAAATTGAATTTGTAATAATATTTTATGACATCAGTCTGTGAAAGTCATATTTTAGTGTTTTGTTTTCCTTAAGACGTAGGTTCGCAGAGAAACATTAACTAAATACAGACATTGGAAATAAGTAGGATATTTTTTCCTCAAACTATGAAAAACAATGAAGTATTAGTTCTGTGTCATTAGGTCATTAACCCGTTTGTTCTAGAGGTGTGGCACATAAATCCATCGCAATATGCCGTCGTGCACCGTTCACCTCGACTGTATTATGAAGAAGCATTAGCATATTTACAAAAACTAACGAGACCTGGATATCAGGCCAACGAACTTGGAGACATACAAACTATTAAAATACTGTAAATATAGCTAATAGTACCGTCATGGATGGAACATGGCCAACGTCTGATTAAATATAATCAGCAACCCCGGTAGAGATTGAAGTGATGATAATTTTAAATGGTTTGGCTGTGAATACCCTTGCCTTTATGTGATGGTAAACATCAAAGTTTTAATAATTGTTTAAACAATTGAAAAGATTGTATCTACAAGATTTAAACCGACACCAAGACCTTGTCCAAATCGGTCAATGCTTACATACTTCGTTGTAGTTTGCAGATAATAACAAAAGCCTAGACTCTGTAAGACGCAAAAACCGTCGATAATGCTAACAATTTATTTTTTACAGTCGTAAACAAGTTTTGATCGATGTATTCTGTTAAAGAAATAATCCAGATAAAATACGGCGCAGAAAAATATGTAATGAAACAAGATTATGTAACTCGTGTTGTGATCTTATTGAATATGGATGGATTTTTTCCCGCGAAATGAAGGATATCATTCACGACTGTTAGCATTAGTGTGTATCTAGGCGTAAACAATGACGCGCTATATGCTAATGTTTTGATCACTTCCGGAGCGCAGTATGCCACTGCAAACTAAATATATATTTATTTTGGTTCTCGGATATGATTTTACGGCAAGTTTGCAATGTGTAAGTGGTAGCAACAATGGAAATGGCGCTCAATCAAATGAACAGGATGTGGAACAGTGCGTCGACCGCGGCGGCAACGAACTTCAGCGCTCCATAGAAATTAGCAAGTGCGGCTGCGTCAATTGCCCACAGATTAAGGTTTTACAACAACAGTTTGGAACAAACAACCTCGTTAATATTACAGTGGAGGTGAACGCTTTCAAACAGTTACAGCTAAACAAAAACAAGAAGATCCGCAAACAAAGGCCAAAACTATTAAACGACGCTTAATTGAACTGCGTATCTGACTCCGTGTTTTTACTCAACTGGAAATAAAATAACGTTACGATAAAATAAATATAGGTATGTACACTGGAGGTAGCTATCAAGATATACGCATCACAAAATCGTGATCAAATAACGTTATCATAAACTATTGTTGTTGATCAATTTCACTGGACGTTATCATAGGCTAAGTGTTTGCTACATCGTGTGATAATGTGATTGTGGCTCTGCATGGGCTCAGTTCATCAATGACGCTCGTAGGGACCAACGCATTGTTCTCCCGGGGGGCACTAACCCACATGCGCCGATTAGATATGAGACGCAACGACATGCGGCCGCCGGGTAAACACACTGCCTCATGCGCAACGCGAACCGTAAACAACACGATTTATAACAACAAACACTTTGACACTTTGCAAATAATTTTATATTAAAAAGGTGGGACCCTAGTGGCCCAATTTCGATACCCAATTTAATTATTCAGGACGTTACAACATTAGGCCGTTGACGTTTCCATTTGAGACGACATGATCGCAGCATTTATTTTGGCACTAACCCAATTTTTTTTCTTTGTAAAATCTTTTTTAAATCAAAGCATTTCTCGTAGAAAGGTTTCGTGCTTCTATTTGCGCATTGCGAAATTTTGAAAGCGTTTCCGAATCCATACCGGTGTAGATGAAATACGCGTCCCCATTTAGCAATCGCATATCAAGGCTCATTGTTTGTGCTCGTGTACCACATTGTTCTGATGTTTTGTAGTGCAAACAGACATCGTCTGGTGCCCGATAAGAGGACCTGACACGAGGGGATCTTGTAATATAATTTCGAAACCAAAAGCTATTTCAGTGCTCCCTTAATGTTGCAATGTCTAACGAACATGTGAGAACACGTAGGTGTGTGTCCATTCTCCAAGGTGCTAGAGAGAGAAAAAGTCTTTACGGCCATCTATAGCCTGTACTAAACTCGACGGATCAATTAAATGTGCGTAGTAGTAGTAGCTCTCAGCCTACTACCTAAGTACCTAGTACTCCATTGAGTAAGCGTACGCCATTTACCTCAAGATTGACTTGGAAAAACCACATTTGTAAAGCGGACAAAGGCAAATCCTGTTGATATGTCTTAAGTCACGTGGCTCAAGTATGTGACAGGTATAGTTTTTTTTTTCTTTTAAAACCAAAGCAAACAGTGAAATCATTCGGGCCTCCCATAGAGTATTAATGAGACTCAAAGGTCAAACGGAACTAAAATGTAGTGTCTGTGACATTTTAGAAAAAAAATTGGTTCTGCCCAGTAACGCTCATTTAAGATTCTCTCGCACCTAAGCGGGCCCTTAAATATTCTGCTTAAATGTCACTGAATAAATTGAGACGAAACACGCAACTGCCATTAGACCGTAAGAATTTGACTTTCTCAGAGATTCATAATGGAACTCAGAATTTCAAAAAATTTAAATTGTATGTATTTTTATTACATACCTGGAACATATCCGTGTCCGGGTCTTCTGTGTATTCGACGATAACCGCTTGGCTGCGGCTGAGTGTGTAGGATATTGAGTGTTGGCTGGCATCGAGGATAGCCTTGCTGCTGTGAGGAGTCTTGACAACATAGTGTTTCGACCGCCTCACACCATTCGCAGACGGTCGTCGATACAGCACGAATTTGCTTCGACGTCGACCTCGCTCTCCGGCTGGGAGGTATCCGTTGTAACTGAAATAATAACACTTTCTTAAGATTTGAAGGAAAATTATAATTATTAACAGTAAGCTATTTTCATCGTTGGAAAGTTCCAAGTTTGAACCAAAACTAATTTTAGGTAGAGAATGAAAGGAAAGGGTTACATCACGGGTAGTTATTTTGAGCCTTCCAAAGATACGAGATTTCGACAATACCGAATGCCATTTGTCGTCAAGATCAGATATTCAGAATCAACAGATGTATTTGGCAATGACATTGGCGCGATGACCTTTAAATCTAATCTGTGAGAAACTATGTGTATGCCTCAATGGAATAACTTGTTAACCCACCTTCTATTCGTAAATGATTCCTTAGGTCAGTGTTAGGTCTCAATTACAACAATAAGTGTTTTTTGTATTGCTTGGTTATAGCCATAGCAATTATATGCATTAATAGTCGATGGGAAAGGTTAAACTTCCGTGAGAATAAAAATCGAACAATCGACGCGTACTTTGTATCTCTGGCTTCTATTCCCACAGATGACAAACCAAATAAATGCAAGACTTTATTTAGATAGTGAATATATTTTATAGTACAAATGGAAGTAAGTTTTAAATTACGTCGTTTACATAAATATTTACAAATTGATTGTTTATTTACGAATTCCAATAAAACAAATGCCTGACGCAGTTTCAAGTTCACATTGTACTTAAAACAGGAATGACGTTAAAATTTTTGTTACGTATACTTGAAACATAAGCTGCATACTTCAGTAATTCAAGTCGAGTAGTTCACAGTGCTATGTAGAATTTTTATAAAGTGTAAGAAATCAGACAATGTTTGGCTCGTAGCATGGGAAGCTGAACAAGTGCAAACCTTTGTGTTGTGTTATATAAGTTGGCGTAACACACTGTCTGACATAAGATGTTTTTGTTAAAAACTTTATTCTCGCGGATTCCCATCAGATAAACCTTGTTTCCGCACGTCTACTGAGTTATTTTCACCTTAGCAAATATCTGTAAAGCAAATAGGTACCTATTTCTATTCATTATCGTTTGGTTGTTTTTTTCTGAATAAAATTATTTCTCCTTATCAACTGGGTTTATCCGCCAGTAAACTGATTTGAACTACATCATTATGTAAAGAATGTGGCTAATACAAATTGTTCTGTAGGTACTTATACATTATTAATGAAATTGGTTTCTCATGGAAAACAATTTTCTCATCAAGTAGGTAAAATATTCAAAGCAATCCAAATAATCAAAGGCAATCTCGGAATACAATAGTACCTAATGTAACCTTGATATTCTAAATAGAGGCAATCAAAACTTCCCCAACCTATGGTTTCACCCCGAGGCTACTGTTGTGAAGGAAAATTCAGGTCGTATTCAATATAATTAACCACATTAAGTCTAATAAAGGTCTCTAGTCTACGATTTGTGGTTGCTTAGTGACCAAATATAGAATAGAGAGGTGAAATGGATTGGTACAAACACAGCTATTATATGAATGCCTAAGAAAAACAAGAAACAAGCCGAGAGAAAGCAATGAATTATGTCCGAGCAATAAAACGGTTAAATTGAGTAAAAGCACTATTGTTTTCTTTAACAGCATTGGCCAATCATAAATCAGTACAGTTACACAATACCTAAACGATGGTCGATAGGTTTGGACTATCTTTACACGTGTACATGGTGTTCTATTATTCGTACACGAAACATGTAGAAAGCTGGTAGTTCACATGTTTAAAATAGAATAGTTACAACATCGGTAGGGCGTCGTCGATGGTAGGAAAATCCTATTATGAATAAATCGATCATGACGGACACATGAGTCCTCGGCACCCCTTGTAGGCAAACGATTGCATTACTTAAGGCAGTAAGAAAATAGGGATGGTATAGCGTTTCACTGTAATGGAATTAGTGCGCTCGCATGCTTGTGGTTACGCAACCTGCAGCTAGGGGCGATCGTACAGTACTATATTGAATAATATATCTTAATTATAGACAGGTTTGTTGTAAATTCCAGCTCGGAATAGAGTCCATAATATAAACATGGTTCAATACAAAGTGGCTTTATGCAAGAACTAATGAATTGCGTGTTAGTACAAATGGTACTAAAAAACATATCTTGCACGATTTCTTTATGCTACTATAAAACAAACAATGAAAGGAAAGTGGCTTAAACCTGGTCAAACACGAAAAACTATTAATACTGAAAAGGGATAAGTACATACCATATTTTAGATGAACAAAGGATAAAACAGTATTGATTTGGAAAGTAACGGCTGACTGGCGGATTACGTATTATGATGCATCGTTTTCGTCCTTTTCCCTTGGCTGATATGAACCCGAGTTATGAAAATTTTATTAGAAGGAATCTGTGGGATATTACGAGCCCACAAGGGGAATGATGTATTGAAGCTCTCGCTTCATTTCATTCACTTGAGTTTGCTATATCGTGTAGGGGAGGGAGGGTACTGAAATCAAAATCATGTTCTTCGAATCGAAGTACCTCGGATTCAAATTGGAGTTTCTGGAAGTTTTTCACAATATGAATGATTGATTACGTAAGTGTAGTTCTAAAGATCTATAATTTTATTTACTAAATTCTAATTATTTTTGAAAGAGTGATGTAAGTGAGTATCCGGATTCCTTTTCTAAAGAGTAAAGAACCCCAATAAATGAAGATTTGACGACTGCGTGATGACACAACGTAATGATTTTTTTATTTGGTATTATGGGAAGAACCGCATCCATAATTTAACATCACTCAATTTTTAAATACCTACCTATCATTATTTAAAAACCAAAACTTGTTGGTTATGATATCAGTGTAACTACTGATTTAAGAAATATGGTATGGCAAGTTAAAACAAGATAATGAAGATATAAGACATATTTGAAAAGATACTTCCAAAAGTTTTTTTGATTAAGAAAACAAATTAATCGAAAGTACAACCATGACGTAATTTCCCTTGGAAAGGGTACAGCTCTATTACAGAAAAGAAAGTGATATCAATTATTTAAACTATTTTAAGAACAGTGTCAAGACAATCGAAACGAAGACGAAAGCGATCACATCGGTCGATTCCAATTAAGCCCAATTGTATCTTAAAGTCGAATGTCACGGGTCAAAGAGTAAACGCACCGCATTGATTTCATAAATATTTGGTTTTCCCAAATTCGTTACGAAATGTGAGTGTTTTACTATTTTATCGTTTTCGTTGAAAGTGATTTCACGCTCGCGTTATTACATTTTAGTGAAGTCAGCCACTTTCGAATACCTTTCATTGTACGCAAACAAACCCTCTTCTACGCCTATTTTTAACCCCATTTTTCGCAAAATTGTAGTCTGAAATATAGGTACACCCACTCTTCGCCTTTTATATTGTTAGACCCACGTAATAGGCGAGGCGATACGTACTGGGTACTACTTGAGAATATGAATATATAAAATCCCTACAACGCTTGTCTGATCGATATATCAACGGTACGACACCCAGACTAAAATGATAGACATATTGGAAATACCGATTTTAATCACAGCAAGAAGAATCTAGATAATGCGGTACAAAAGTTTGCGTTTTAACTTTTTTATTCCTTTATTCTCATACTTGGTTTGTTGAGATAACACTTTGTCATGACGACGACGACAGAGATGAAGCACGTTTATCTCTATACCAGGCTGATGCCACTGAATATTAATAAGACCGCAAAAACTGGGTTTTCTACGGATATTCCTAAAGATTACTTCGTAATATCAACAAATAAACTGTTCTGTGTCCTCTTGATACATACATCAGTTATCCCAAATAACCCAACAACCTGAGAATATTATTAACGTACATTACTATTTCTATAACTAATTTAAATATTTTTATTACATTTCAAATACCAGACCGAATTCACCGAATAGTCCGCACGTTTTCGATATCGTGAAAAAACTTGTGCTCCATGCACGTGATCGAGTACTGTGTATCAAAATAACTGAAAACAAAGGCAACGTTAGCACAAGCCAAGCGAATTCGTTCGACCTTTGTGCCCAATTAACTGTAAATCAAAACAAGCTAACATCTAAAGTTTCAACAAACTTAGACTTCAAACAATTAGTAGTGAAGACTTCGTAACAAAACCTTTCACAGCTCAATCAATAAACTAGGTACTCGATTGAAATCTGGAAGTGAAGTCGGTGCTTCAGAAATATTTTCGGCTAAATCGAAGTAATTAAGCATCCGTTAGACGAAAAATGAATTAGAAAACGTGTTTTTTTGTCTGCTATGTACGGAACATGCCAACGGAATATTAATAGTAGACGAATGAACGGTTATGCACATGCATACAAAGATATAAATTAAAATATTCGGTTGCCAAAGAAGCGACTGCGATGAAGAATGACTAGATTATTTTGGGATAAATATTTCTCGAGGGAACCTGATGCCAGATTATGGCATCCATAATTCCAGGTCGAAATATGGTGTTTACAACATTTAATTGACCTTAACGACACCTACGAAAGTTTACAGAGTATTTTTGGACGACCACACAGCCCCATGATGTAATAAATAACAAGAAGCGATTTAGCTTGTTATGATTTTAACGCATAGACGGCGAGCTATTTTGGCAGCATAGCTCGTCTCGCAGAGTTACTTCCGCACCACACATCACATCTTGTCTGATACAAAGAAACATCTAAACCATCCACATCAGTCGGCTTTAAAGTGTAAACCATATGGGATGTCTACAGTAATCGTTACAGCATTTTACTACAATAATAAAAAAATACTAGTGGCGCCGTTCATAGATACGTTTGAAACATTAACAGAACATTAAAACTGACATACTAACCTATTAATCTGATAAATTTGTTGCATTTAATAGCTGATATTCGAGATAAGTTGCTGGATGACGTAATGGTTTAATTCAAATTCTGAATGCGCGAACGGAATCTAAACGGCAGCGTGGGGCATATGATTAACATTGAAAATTAACAGTGACTTTGGCAGTGGGCAGTAAGTATGGCAAAGTGAATACGTTACCAAACACTTAACAATCCCAGTACACAGAAAGTTCGTGATGAAACGAGAAAATAGCGTCTGCGCCATATTCGTTTGCGTACATAATTAAAGACCGGAGTTACGTTTCAGCAATGCGAGCCCCGTCGCTATTTCCACTCTTCCTCTCACATCAAATTTAAATCACACATGCCTTGTGTCTGGTTTGTGTATTTGGGTCAAAAAACGAGCCGTAACGAACTGGAGGTAAATTGTTGAAACGTGACGTTGAAGAGAGATGTTCCATGTTCATGACCTCTAGGTACATACATAACATGAGAAACCAAGTTTTGCGGTCAGCTGGTCTTGAACTCGATATACTACGATTATTATGAATTCATGTCATGACCGTGATTATGAGAATCCACATGCGTGCTGTAGATTACAGAAACTAAGTGCGTTGTTTGTTATGATCATGGCGATAATTTATGCAGCTATTCGATGTATAAAGGTGTTAAGTGTTAATATTAGATCTCAAAGTTGTGTGTACATTTCGGTGAAGTAGCCACCAAAGCTTATTCCCCTTGAAGTTGAGAATGAACATGACCTTTCATCAGATGATGACAAATGCAATAAAATAGAAAGTGCTGCATTAATGCTGTACGTGTAAGATATTGTAAACATTCTTCAAAAGGCAAGGCATGCATGATAAGCGTTGTCCCTGAAGATTAAACAAGACAACTTTGTCTTAGTGATGTCATCAGACAGACCATCCACACATACAGTAAGATGTCTGATTGGTTTATAGCCAGAACTTGTATAGATAAATTGTCATTCAACTGCATATACACTATATTCAACGGTAAGATATCTTCGCTATGAATCCTTTAGAATTAAATCAAGAATATGCAAACTAAGCTGAAGCATGAAGAACTCTTCAAAATATGAACATTTTGTAACAGTGATAAACATTTATTTATTCATACGAAAACGTCGGAAGTCTCCAAAATTCTAAGTGCGCTATGGCAGGGAAGGGAGCTAGGGGTCTTTTTCTATATCACGGAAATATTTGACAAGTATTGTACACAACCCTATGTAAGGGTGGTCTAACTTGATCGAGTGTCAGTCAATCATAGTTTGAATGTTTTGCTACTCAGCAAACCCCTTTTGCTTCAAGTGTCAGATACGGTAAGGGCCCTGAGGTACAATGAAAACCTCTTCACTAACAATAGAGTAATTAAACTTGTGCAACATTTTCTCGTTCAACGACCGATAGCGTAATAAAAATCTTTAGAAGAGACGCAAAACTAGATAAAGACAAATTTGAAGTAAGAATGAGGTTTTCTTTAGCAGTACTGTTTAGTTCACCTGCCACAAATATGATAAAAGGTAACAAAGGGTTTTTGTTACTTTGAACATGTTAGTAATAAGGACAGGAGTCAGTTTTGTGATTGGCATTTGTTTCCAGCTGAGGAGATTCTATTTAAAGACTAACGATCAGCCGCTGTTGCGATATCAACGAGAGCAGAAGTAGAAAATACAGTTTTATTATTATGATACATAAAGATGAACGTATAATTACTGAACAATGGAATGTTAATATAAATCATTTTGTTCCAAACAATACGGAAGTAATGATAAAATGTATGCAGAAGTGATTCTTTTCTGGGTTATTGAATATTATGAAGATGTTGTTTGAATAATAAATAAACGACTTTGTATAAAATCGACAATGTTGTAGACCTTTATCATACATAAAAGATTTCATTTTCCAACTTTCTTTATGATATGTTACTTATGTTCTGCTATTAGTATAGAATCACGAACTTTTAAATGTTTAAGAAAGGAAAATGGCAAATCATTTTGCAAGACAATCTTAGCTGTGTCGTAAAATTGATGTTGATTTGCTTTATTTCTGTTTTATTATAGAATCGAAATGCTTCGCTTTTCTCTTTTTATTTTAAAAGAAACCGTAAAACGTTTTACGAGCCCTTTCGAATAGTATTATTAGGAGACACTTAAATATATTTGTGATTAAAGACGAGACATGTTGTTTTTATAGTTTGAATCCTAATTACCATAGAAAAAAAAAATATATTTTCTGCTTACGAATAGATGTTGAGTTCGAAAACAAGAAATAATTGCGATATTTTACCCTGTAATGACCACATTCATACACGACACGAGTAATTTTGTTCGACGCGGTAAATGCAGCCGTAGGCGTAGAAAATAAACAAACGAGAGCAAGACGAACAAAGGAAACTCAGATAAACAATATTGTAATTACGTTTATCAAAGCCCTTATCACAGACACAGACGCCTCAAACCATTAAATCCAGACATAGTCGGAACTCAAATCAAATTGAGACCGGAAACATCTGTAGGCTGGCAATAAAATTGGTACAAGTGATATAATGTTGCCAGTCGTGTAGATATTTAGCACAACTTTGTGGTTTTTAGTGCAATTAAGCACGATATAGATGTGAATGGTTTGGAGTTCCCAGCTTTTTCACGAAGTGACATTTACAAAACGGGGTATGTATCATTTCGAGGTCAAAAAGAAGATTACCGTAAATAATATCCATGGCTCTATATGCTTAATGGATTATATTGATTAGATTTATTGCTTGCTTGCAATATGGTTCAGAAAAATAATGTTTCAAAGGAATTTGGGAATTCCTCTTTCCTTTTTTTGACAATGGCTTCTCGTGGGTCAACCGAAGATGACAAACGGGTTTTTCTGTATTAAACAAAGTATTATATAAGGTTTATGAATAGAATTAAAGAAATATAAATATAAGACAAATACTTCTTTTGATAATAGGCTATCGTTATCATTATCCGGATTGCGAATTAATAAAAAAATATTTATTTTCAGCTTAGCACACTTTTAGGACATCGTTCTAGTTATTTCGTCGCGATATGCTTTTGTAACATTTTTATAAAAATAAATTCAACATAGTACATATAGCAAGGTTTATAAGAGTTCTTCTCAACAATAATACGGCACTACGTACAAAAACGGTCGCTCGAGAATAAATCTCGCTTCAACGTGCATTGTGATTTCTGATTGTATATAGAGTCGGGAGTGAGCAAAGTGCAGCACACAGAGTGGAATCTAAATGGAGTAACCAGCTTTAATTCGTATGCGCGCCAAGTTGCGGATGACACAATAATAAGGAGACACCATTTATCTGAACTTGGAGGAATTTGTCGTGGTTCAAAACTTTTACACTTATTTTTTTTGTCTATATTTGAATGACTGAAAATTATCAGTCTAACTACATTGCACGTCAACTTACTGTAAGCTCAACAAAATACCTCGAGTTTAACATAATTATTACGTAAGATTTAATACATGATGGCTTACTTATTAATATGTACTCCATTGTGTGTATTCTGTGGCGCGGTCTACCATTATTGTATAGGTATTAAATAGTCATATCCTAGGTATACGGTCAGATCTTGCACTCGCACGCTAACCTTGTTTGTTCTACATGTAGATGACCGGACAAAGGATGATGAGTTGAAGTATAATGACTTATGATGACGTTACGTATCGACTAAATCAATATTTAATCAGATGCCTTAAAGATTTGATGGTAAAAAATAAACTATACTAAAAATAAAACTGATATGGTTGGTATACGTAAGTTGAAATTAGTAATTAAAAATACTACACAGACACTTATCATAACAAAACGTCTTCAAAAAACAACAGACGTTAATGAACACATAGAAATCGGTAGACAACCATATATGGTTGTAATATGGCACCAAACACCGTATGTGGACAAGTAAACAAAATCAAAGAGGCCCTTCTCTGTACAAGGACCATACTTCCAACGCATCGTACCATATTCAAAGCAAGATAATTGGAAGGAGATTGGAAACAAACTTCTTCCTGATATTGTATTCTGATTTCAGTGATTAGTTGCCTTATTCAATGTGCAGTCAGCTGAATGTTGCGACACGACAATTTATATTCCTTATCAAGCGGCTAGACGGAGCTCTCAAAGGGATCGCAATACTATACTTGTACAAACAAGAGTTCGTTGCCTCTTAACATCCGATTAGCATCTTACAACATTATTGGGTCTTTATAAATTTTCGGGTTCTCTTTGATAAAGAAAACACTGCAAGAAGCGTGGAGACATGGGTTCGACACGCAGCGCCTCTCTCAGGAATTTTAATATAAAATGGAAGGGACATTAACAGACGCTTTCTACTCCGGAACTTTACACATACAATATGGGTTGCTCCCTAGTGACTGGGAGAATTGTGTTGTGGGTTACTTCTTATAATTGATTGGGTATGAGGAAAAATACATTAAATATCATATAGCTTTTACGGGAAGAAAACATCAAGTTATTTTCTTCCAAGCTAAGTTGCGAGACAAAAGATGACAACTTACCCGAGTATAACGAGTTCTCCATATTTGATGAGAGGCTTTGGCTTCTGTTCCGAGCCGCTCTCGCCGGCCTCCTCCAGTATTGGTGAGTCCGCACTGTCCGCAGCACTGAAACAATACATCATGTAAAAATTAATACAAACGAGATTTTTCAAGAAAAAGGACGACAGAAGGATAATCCGGAGGATTCAGTTACGGAGCATTGTTCATATTATCTACGTCTAATATAAACTAACATCAGCTTAACAAAGTAAACAATGTCATGGTTATGAGGGGATCATGTTTTAATAAGCCAAGCTTTGTCGGGATAGTCATCAACAGGATTACCACCCACAAGTTTTATTGAGTATGCGTCCATGTACTTCCGCCCAAGAGATCTCATTGATATGACGGGTCAAGCCTTTGCATCAGGCTCAGAAACTGGTTCGAGACAGCTGTGGGTCAAGATTAGTGGTAAATTATAACCACGCCCGTAGGAACCGGTTGCGTACGATGCACCGACTCTTACGCAAGCCACATAAACCTAACAATTACTAAAGTTATTAAACAATAAAACGTTCGTAACCCTCTATTTACGTCTATGAAGTAATTAAAAGATGTCTAAAATTTTGCAGGCATAGGATACACTTTGTCCTGAACCTAAAGGCAATTTTGTGTGCTTTGAGTGCTTTATCGATCGCATCGACGATAACTTATCGCCAGCCTGCGAACTAGGCCACTCTATCTCCGAACATATACTTTCAGCGACCAAGTATGTTACCTGTTGTTGGCGCAGTTCTACTATCACTTTTGTTATGATTCTGACCGATTATTGTTTGTATGTCAATGCTATAATTGCAGCGACACAAAGAAATGATATGAAATGGCGCCGTTCATAAAAAGTTACAAATTGAACGACGCAGAGGATAGCAAGGACAGCGCCGGCCACAACGTCCCTGATTACGGGCACGGGGTCAAAGCCCTCATCTCCCGCCACCCCCTTCTCTCCTGCCTCGACTATAGGACACTCATCTAATGCCGACCCACAATTACTGAGGCCCAACATTTAAATAATAACACTCTCTGGACGGTCCATTGTCGATATGGAATATTAAATCATTTGAAACAAAGGCGCCGAGATTTCTATTGCTCTAATAACAATCACCGCTTTTAAATTGAGTCAGATAATCTAGATTATAGCCATTCGTTAGCAATGGTTCCTTGTTAAAGTATTGCATAAAAACGCGGCGGTTCATTCCGTGACACTAACAATTAACTTCATTTGCATGTCTGACTATAATATTTTCCGCACGATTCTTCCGCTTGTCTCACCTTTGTCTGGTGTTACGATTTTTGATCCGATTTACATATGATATCTCGGTTTTGTGGAAAAAGTGAAGAGGCGAACAGAAGGAAACAATGGGCTGACTTAATGTTATCGTAGTAATATTTCTAAGAATTACTATGGAGGTGATTCACGTCATAGTTCCTATCGACTACAGCACCGACTGTTCGGCACACTAAGCACGTGGCGATAAAAGGCTACATTGCATCCGGTTTTGCCGCAACACACCAAATGCGTCGAATGTGGGAACGCCGGAAGTTTACGAAGAATCACTCCTACACGACGAGAATTCAGTTGACTCATTTCATAAAAGACAAACGCATGGATATAGTAGGCAAGACGATATAGTATCTACACCTACTCAATGTGGACGCAACTTGATCATGGATCCAAACCAGTTTTCTACGTACTCGCAGTTTCAATGAAGTTACCTACTCTCGAAATTGAACGAAAATAACATTGTGCTATTGTATCCCTTGTTATGCTTGTACTTTCTCCGTCCGTAGTCACGATTTCAAGGTTTAAGCTGTCTTGTATTCAGATACAAACACTTTTACCTCGACCACCGACTGGGCTTTCCCAATCACCGTCGATATTATCTATCTAATGTTACATCTAACAATCGAATTAGAGTAATTGATTTAAAGGAATACGATTATCGATTAAATATTCTCTTCATCAATTTTCGGGATATCCTTGAGAAGCATAACTAGTATGAAATTAAACATAAGTATTATATTCTATTTGTAATTTGTAGCAAAGGTACAGGTTTAAGACTAATTGACTGTGTATAAAAACAATATCGATAAATTCTTTTGTAGATACCAACAACGAAATGCAAAATGTGAGGAATTTACAAATATAAACCAGTCAAAGGTAGTGTAGTCAGCTACAAAGTATAATCAACTGCCAATGGGCAACGGTCGATGATCCAACGGTCATTTTTTTATAAGAGGCGGAAATTACTTTGAATTGACGCTCTATCCGGACCCGAAGCGATTTATGTCTGCTTCAGATTTGATGACACACCTTAGAACTGATCGCAAGTGGCTATAGGTACACCGGCTCGGAGCTACGGAGTTTATTGGTTATCGTAAGACCCCGAAACGGCTATAAAATTGGTTATATTGCATTTGAACGGGGTTGGATATTGTGTGCGAATTAATATTAGGGACACAAAATATGTCAATTCTTAGATAATTTAGATTGAAGCTACTACAAAAAACAATAACTAGTTAGCGAATAAACCGGTAGTAGTTTAAAACTTGTATTCAATAGTTAGCTCTAATTTTGCAAATCTTAAAACCTTATTTATCGTGCTTAGGACTTTTGAAATATGGTGTCAATCGAAGACAGACAAAAGATGAATGACAATGATACAAAAACGATCAACATTACATTGAATTGAAATGGAATACATCTTGTAGCAATCGAAACGTTGGATACTGTAACTCTTATGTAATGATAACAGGATACAGGTAATGAAACTAATCAGATAGTGAATAAATGGCATTGATTTGATTCCGAAGTCAAGATCGACTATACTACTTCCTCCGATAGTAAATTGGAACTTTTTTACAATCTAAGGAAAATAAATAGCATAATTAGACGCAATCCTACAGTTCTACCTCTACGTGAAATTTAACTCTTCGCATTGCTTTTAGTTCTCGGGGATCTACGAAATTTTTTATTGATTTGTATTTAAAATAAGATGTATCTTGTTCTAAACGGATCTGTATATGCTGGTCACAAGCAGCTCAAAAACAGCATATGAAAGAAAAAATCTTTGTATAACTAGGTGGAAATTAGATATTCTATTTAGAAATTAAATTTGATAAAATGTAACACTTAACTACCCACGTTTATGATCCGTGTTCAATGCATAGTGAACCGTTTGTAGCGGTTCATAAGAAGGTCAGCATTCAGTAGTTGACGTTTAAAGACTGATAATTACATGATGACGGTGCAGATTCCAATGAAAACTCTGATTCCCACGAAAACCAAAGTTAAGTTCACAGAACTTAGGTAAGGCATACATTTATTATTATAATACATCTAGTGGTTGCAATTTTCCAAAGCCAATGGGCCGTAAATCAGTAATATGCTCGTAAATACAGCAATAGCGTGTAGGTGTTGGCTCAAGATATATGGATGTCAATAAACGCGTGATTAACGTTGAAATTCTGACCTAGTAGTTAATCTTCTTAACAATAACTATGTAACTAGGTACTTACAAATTATTATGAACTGATTAGAAAGTAGTAACATTGTATTTTGAGGCTTCTATAGACAACAAGCTTGGTTTGAAAAATTGCAAACTCAAGACTCGAACCTAATTAGACACATAACAGTCAATAGCACATAGCGTCCAATAAAACTACAACTGTCACTATTGTCATATTTCTTTACATTTTATTTAAATGACAGGCTCAAAATAAAACACGAGTAGGTAGAATTACATTCCCACCGAATAAAAATCTACCGTGAGACTAGGTAATAAAATATCCACCGTCTTTTAATAACACTGCGTTACACGATTTTGGTACCCACGTAAGTGTTAGCTGGAATGAATAGCTAATGAGTCACAGATTAAATGTTCCAAACATATGTGGTATCTATCACGTCTAGTTTTCAAGGTACATGCCAAATTATTTTTTCTATTACCCTCACTTTAGGCGAAAACGAAATAGTTACCATTTTTGATGTGCTGTACTTTTTATTATTTTGTTTTGTTTAGTAGTCATTTTTATTCGATAACGTCGATATATTCGTACATATTTCTTTCGAAATTCAATATGAATACTGGACTAAGTGGTCGTCGCAACTGCTTAAATGCACCAAATAAGTTTTGTTATGTTTGCGGACAGTATATTGTGAAGTCACAAATAAAAAATGTCTCCAAAAAAGTGAGAAGTTTTTTGATGGAAGATTTACTATATTTTGGGCGTGCTATTAATCAAGATAAACCATGGATACCAAAGTTAAAACTCAAAGAAGGAATATTTGTAGGACCACAAATACGCACATTGATGAAAGACCCAAATTTTGAGAAAAAGGTTACTGACAAGGAACATGATGCCTGGTTATCGCTGAAAGCAGTTATTAAAGGGTTTTTAGGGAACCACAGGGCCGAAACTGCGAAAAAGCTAGTTGACGACATGTTAGAAGCATATAAAAAGTTGGGTTGCAGAATGTCGTTAAAAATTCATTTCCTTCATTCTCACTTTTCTTTTTTCCCATCTAATCTTGGTGCAGTCAGTGATGAGCAAGGTGAGAGGTTCCACCAGGATGTAAAGAAGCTTGAAGAATGATTTCAAGGGCGTTGGGACACAACTATGCTAGGCGATTACTGCTGGCGTTTAAAACGAGAAGATCATTCAAAGCACAAAAGAAAAAGTTAAAGTTTTGCGATCTTTTGTGTTAAAACTTTTTATAATGTTTTTTTTTATCCTTAATGGTAAAATTATACTTAGTAAATGTGAAAAAATCTGGTTGATTTAACTAATTTTCTTTAAAATATGTTTTAGCATTTAAATTTTTAGTAAAATTTGGCACATTCTTATGGAAGAAAAATGAGATGTGATGAATGGAAATGGTGTATGTATTTTTAATAAACTATAAGTATTCACAAGAAAACATGACATTTCAAAGCGGGTACTCAATTTTTTTTTTCATTTGTAACGCAGTGTAATCACTTAATTTGACACATCTTAAATTACCGTCAAGAATAGAAAAAAATTGGCAATACTATGCAATGAACGAGGCCAAGTGATGCCATGCGGTC